CTGCTCTATTCAACCTTCTTCTATGGAAAGTGAAGATTAAAGATGAGTACTTACCCATTATCCTTATCCTTACTCGGAAGCTTTGTGGAAATGCTGTAGAAACTAAGCCTGACCATGCATAGTTTAATGGGATGGACATTGGAAAAACATTAAAAATTTAATTTCAATCCCTGGAGAACTGCTAAATCACAAAAGAGCTTAGGGCCCAAAATAGGTTGTATAGATTAAACCCCATTTCACACCCATAGCTTCATGGACAAAATATATAATTAACCAAGAAGAGGAAAAACGATGATTTTTGTTACATACATGACCATAGGTACACAGATCTATGGCTTGAGAGCCACTGAGTCAAACCTAGAAGAAAATGGACTGCTAATTCTGCTTCTTCAGTGTTCACACTACTTTTGGCAGCCACACAGTACCAAACTATGCTAGTAATAAAAGGGTTGGTGAAAACACTGATCCATCCAAAGGCCCACTTACTAATTTACCGGCAATTTCAGTTAAAATATAAACTGGAAATAAATCATATATGTAAAAATTCTCAACGTTGATAACCAGAGAAAAAAAGCAACATGCTAAAATGACCACAAACAACATCTCAAAAGAGCAACTGCCTGGGAAATGTTCCTTCGAAATAAAGACGCAATCAGGAAGCAGATGGCAGCATTCTAAAAGCTCACTTAAGGAACATTTTAGGCATTTCTGACTGTTCTGCAAATGAAAAGAGGGGTGTTTCATCAAGAGTAACTCTAGCCGGGTCATGATAATAATAGGTTGCCCGGATCCTCTTCACTCAGCTCAGGAAGTAACTGGCTTAAATTGAGGTGCGGGCAAGGGAGGGGCAGCCCTCAGCCTCTCGGCAGGGGACAGGAATGCAAACTCTAATCACGCAAGGTGAAAGTCACCACAGCCCTGGCATCTTGCATGAATTTCAGAAAAGCAGCTGGGTTTCATAATCAGAAGGCAGCACTTCCATAGCTCCATACTCTTTCCAATAATGCTTTGTTAGGGAATCACCTTCTCTATTTAATTGATTTCTTTTAGGTTTTTGACCCATTTTCTTGTTTCCCAGGCTGCATATACCACCTTCCAAACAACTAAAGAATAACAAGGAATACTGCCTCCTTTCCAGAGCTCCAGCACTAATCTTTGTAAGACTTAAAGGAAACCACTTTTCTCAGTTTTGGGGTCTATAAACCCACAATCACTAATAGATGGGGAAAAGTCTGAAAAATATTTCATTTCCCACATGATTAAGTGTTTTTGGAGCAAAATGAACATACAAAGCAGGCTGGACAACTGCATCTCTGTTTCTGACCTGGGTGAAATCCTGCATAAAATCCTACGTTTCATACATTCTGTATTCAGGTGTAAGCAATTTGTATCTAAATTTACATTTTACTAATTTGTCAACTGATGAACACAAGAATTAAAACTCTCAAAATCATTAGACAATGCTTTTGGTAAAGAAAAAAAACTAGCTTTTAAGTAAAACATATCAAATTAAAACAAAACCTTTGAGTAATATATTCTACAGGTGGCAAATTCTGAGTATAACCGGAGGGCTGAGGGGATTAAAATACCATGGTAGATGGACTAGTTCAGGTTTTGGAGGCAGTGAAATTGGCCTCAGGGCAGCTTGCCATTCATATATTTTGCATAACAGCAATTCTTTCTATAGGCCAGAAAGTTGGGGATACAATAAACTGGGTTATTAAATACCCTCTTTTTAGAATGAGGATGATACAGAATCAATTTCTGTAACCACCTTTCCCTCCTGAAAACCACTTTTACCCTCAACCTAAATTTACTCTCCCCTTCAGGAATTCCCAGTGTATTTCTTTGAGGTGTCTTCCACTTTAGTAGTGGACCCTACAGAGAACCAATATTCAGAGGCCACTTGTAGAAGAGCACTTCTTGTGGGTGGTCTAAATGAAGACAACTATACACATATAAAAGCACACAGGTATATGCAAAAGGGAAAGGGACATGCAAGAGTACTTTAAATGCTGGTTTAGGCTGGGCGTGGTGGCTTGCGCCTATAATCCTAGCACTCTGGGAGGCCCAAAGTGGGAGGATCATTTGAGCTCCAGAGTTCGAGACCAGCCAGAGCAAGAGCGAGACCCCCATCTCTATCAAAAATAGAAAAAATTAGCTGGGCATGGTGGCACATGCCTGTAGTCCCAGCTACTCAGTAGGCTGAGGCAGAAGGATTACTTGAGCCCAGGAGTTTGAGATTTCTGTGAGCTAGGCTGATGCCATGGTACTCTAGTTGGGGCATCAGAGTGAGACTCTATCACAATAAATAAATAAATAAATGCTGGTTTAATAAATGCTCTCACTCTGCAGTATAGCTCATTCTGCTAGAAAAAAACAAACAAACCATAAAACAAATGCTCTCACTCAATCCACCTTATCTACCTTACAAATTATAAATACTATTTAGGCCTAAAAATATACAAAAGTATGCAAATGGACTAGGTGCAGTGGCTCACCCCTGTAATCCCAGCATTTGGGGAGGATGAGGCAGGATTGCTTGAGGCCAGGAGTTTTGAGACCAGCCCAGGCAATATAGTGAGACCCCACCTCTACAAAAAATAAAAAACTTAGCTGGGTGTGTTGGCATGTGCCTACAGTCCCAGCTACTCAGGAGACTGAGACAGAAAGATCCTTTGAGCCCAGGAGTTTGAGGTTACAGTGAGCTATGATCAGGCCAGGCTACTGCACCCCAGCCTGGGTGACACAGTGAGACCCTGTCTCAAAAAAAAAAAAAAAAGAAAATGAAAAAAAAAAAAAAAAACACAAACCATCTATGGAAACATATTTTGCATTTTGTTATGTCCTTCATCATTCCTCAGATCATCTTCAAAAAGTCTGAAAGGTGAAAACTTCTATAATAAATAGCTGAAACACCAGCAGAACCTAAAATGTATTAAACTACATTTTGCACATGATTTACCTAAATTCAGTGTTGATGTTTAACCAAGAACCAGATTCAGGTAGGTAACAGGGGCCATAACTGCTTTTCCATAAAATATACCCTCCTACTTTACATAAATGTACAGTTTTCTACCCCTTCTTAGTATGTTTTAAGTTAAAATTTGATTACTGATGTTTATAAGAATCAGGGACAAGTGATTTTTTTTTCCCGCTATGTCAGTATCTACTGTGACAGATATCTCACGGTCAGGACAATGAAAGAAATTTCATCTGTGCTACTAATGACTCATGGTGGGCCACAGCTCAAGTCAGGTATTTAATAAGAAAGAAAAAAATTAGATTATCATTTCCTTCACTAAAAATGTCATTTCTTTAAAACAAAATTGATACTATTAGTAAAGATATTGGTTCTTATTTTTTACAAATTTTATTAGTGTCTTTTATTTCCACATAAAGCAATCTAACTTTCTGAAAAAAAAAAAAAGAAAAGAAATGGCTACACAGAACCCTTTAAAGCTAAGAGTGCATAATTCCAAATGGCAACAAGTAAAGAGACATAGGGACCTCTGTCATCATGGGTGAGTCCTACTTGTCCTTGCAGCTCAGGGTCCAAGCCAGTTTATTTCATAACCATAGGCAAATAACTCAAATGGTGCCTCTGTATCCCCTTTCAAAATAATTTATCATAAAGACCCACCCTTTGTCTGTTATCATTATTAACCTATAGGCTAGGTTAATAATGAACACATGAAGGGAGAAAGAAAAATGAGAAGTGCAGCATAAACATTTTCACCCTACTGGTAAGACCTCTAGCTGACATATGATACCAACTTTAAGTACCTCAAAAGAATTTAATTTTCAGAACATTTAAGAGAATAAAGAGAGCTCATCATCTTGACTAAGTGTTTTAAAGCACATCAAACAGTAACTTTATGTTTGACAAAGTCTTACAGGCCACCAAATACATAGAAATAGGAATTCCAAATATTTCAGTTCACTGAATATACAAAACCAAATAAGGCACAAGGACCTAAAGAATAAACACAAAGCTAGTCTACAATGTTTGAGTTAATGTGATTTAGGACCCTTCTATTTTGTTCTGCAAGATAATTTACATAGTTCTCTCTGCTGTACATGTCCACGTTTATTCAGATTGTTAATCTTTTCATTCTGGAACTTAGAACATTACGGGCCATAAAAACTTCCAAACTCTGTTGGTATAATCTGATTCAAAATGAAAACAAAACAAAACCTTCAAAGAGACTTTTCTCTGCCTTTTCTACTGCAAACTATAACTTTTGAACAAGAACATACTATATACTATTACTCATAATAATCAATAAACTGGTGAGAATGATCATTGAAACGTCATTCCAGGAGGCTCTTAATTTTCCTGTTTGGTTTTCAAACAACCTACACTTCTGTGCATTATATACTGACACCCCTAAACACACGTTCTATACTGATTCCGGATGTTCACACACAGCAAATGAACGAACATTTGCAGCTAGTGCTGGTTTGTATAATAATGTGACCATCTTGCTGTATTTTTCTTTATATTTCTTAAGTAGAAAATGAAAAAAATCAAATGGCGGTTATTATAAAAAACCCTGGTCTCTAAATTTATGACCAAGACAAGAATAGAAATCAGGAGGAATGAGAAATCCTTAGCTTTAACTGAGTGCTCACAGAACTTAAACCAATGGGCTGTGTTCAAATGAGAAAAACAGTGAATGCAGAGAACATACAGAAAACACTGGAAATAAATTGTCTAAAATTATGTCTAAAAATTGAAGCATAATTGGGAATTCCAAAATGACTTAAGATCTCTACACCTCCTCTTTTTTTGGTCCATTATCTTCTGCAGAGCCAATGTTCACATACATTTTTAGGAATGCATTGAGTAGAATATGAAAGAAGGGGACTTTCTCTATAGAAAGTGAAGAAAAAATTGACCCAAGACCAGTTTTCTTTTTATTTACTGAATGATTCTGTAATATTAGAAAAACATTGCCTTAGCAATCAAATGCAAACCAAGAAATTAAACACTAATCTACAGTAAAAGGTGCTACACAAGAGACATTTATTAATGTTCTGTTGTATTTACAGTTTTAACATAGCAAACCAAGGTGAATTACCATTTGGGCAGAAAGCACATCATTCTACATTTATAACCATTGGTTTCTGCTAACACATTGTAAAAGCAAGTAGTACAGTATGTTAGGGATCATCTCAAAAGTTCCAAGCTAATTCTTTCTTTGTTCCAAGTATCTAATCCTCTCCCTACTCGAGCCTTTGGCCTAATCATGAAGAGACAAAAGAAAAAGAAAAAAAGAGATAGGGATTCTAATCATACAGAGAGTGTCAAGAATTACATTTTAGTAATTAAGCTGCATTTGTCCTAGAGTCCTTTCTATTTTATACAGTGACAACACCTTTAGAATCCATTGGGTACACACCACAGACCACAAACAATAAGGTACTGCAGAATTTTGAATATAGACTATAAAAAGTTAATGCTTATTATTTACCAATTAAGGATGTATTTTTTGACCACACCTTAAATGTATTTTGCACTATGATTTTGCTTCCAGGTGTTCACACAGTACAATTGAATAAATTTCTAGATTAATTTTAACAGCATATATGGTATATGTGCAGAAATGCAGTCATAAAAGTTTTAACTTTTGAGAAAACCCCTTTAAAGTGGCCAGCATTATACATATCTTACAATAAAATATTTAATTCCAAATTCATTTTGAGATGGAGGATGAATAAAGCAAGACTGCCCCCTACTGACTACAGGGACATGGCTCATGCTACTTAAAATGACTACAAACAATATATAAGGCATTATTAATACATCACAGACTTGATTGCAAGAGCTTTTTCAAACATTAACCACTAATGATTCAATGATTACAGAATTCTGCATTAACTATTAAAATTTTACACCTAGGAACAAATAGAGAGAAATGATCTTTTTCAACAGTACTTTTATTTTTTAAAGCAGGTGATTATTCCTCTGTGTTCTGCATCTTGATTCACTTCCTGCAGGTGTTCTCTTGCTTCTGGAGAGAGAATTCATAAATGCAGGAAGGCCTTCACCAGAAAACATCTGCCAGAGAAGGATATTGAATATTGAAACTCTAGTTAGCTTGTTATTTTGGCTAAGAGAAGGATGTAGTCACAAAAGAAGGCAGGATGTTTAGAGACACAAGAAGTACATTTTAACATAGTTTTAAGATTACTCTATAATGACATCATAGTATTCAATAAACATTAACATTTCAGTTTTTAAAGTTACCAAGGCCTCCAGAACTAGAAAGACCTGGAATGTTTTCTCTAAAAACCCATCAGGTCAGGAATCTCTTTCTCCAAACCTTCTAACAAAAGAACAGAATGGAAGCAACATTTCTTCATCCAATACTTACTCCTGTCAGTAATAACTGAAACTTAGGACAGAGAAGGAGTAGAATTCAAGTGCACAGGTAATTTTCCTAATACACCTGAGGCTACTGTTTACTCTAAAAATTCTGCCAAATCTCACACAAGGAAGACTTCCAATAAGGATGCCAATGATGTCATACTATACTTAAACAGAGCATGGCAAAATTAAAAAACAAAACAAAAAAACCCTGTAAATTCACAAGTATCACAAATACTTTTTAAAGATACATTTTCTTAAAAAGTCAATGTATTTTGGGGGCATGTTTCTCTGAAAATAATGTTTCTCTGAAAATAATAAGTATATGTAATAATAAGTAGGCTCAAAGAGGCTTTAAGTTTAAGAAAGGAATATATATGACAGAAATAAATGCTCCCCAAACAATGCCTATATATTTTATTAAATGCAGTTTTCATCTTAATACTTTGAGGCATTTCTATACTGGCATACTATACTGTTTTGGTTCTCATGGAAATAACTTAAGAAAAACTATAAGTAACTCCCTATATTAATGCTAAAAAGGGAAATACTAAGGAGGTACATTAACAACCTAATGAAGATTTGCTGAGAAACTACTTTGTGGTACCCAGCACCAAGTGAAGAGTTGGATGGGCTCATATACAGGCCCTTAGCTTACTTTTCCATCTCTCCAAATTACTATAAGAGCCACAAGAAGCCCTTTTGTATCTTTTTTGATTAGACTACTGCATAAATCTTTAAAAGGCAGCCAAAATGCAGAGAAGCTACAATACTGGAGGAAATGAACATTCTTTTAAAACTGTCAACATTTTTCCAAACTCCAAATTCAACTGTGTTTTGATGTCAAGTAAACCAATGAAATGAACACACGGGGAACTTTTCTTTAGACTGGGATACATATAAGAGACTGAGAGACTTCAGAATGTGCAGAGAATCAGACACAAGAATATAAGGAACACTAAAAGCCAAGCAGAAACAAAATTAGGACACTGATGTTGAATGGAGGTTTTTGCAACAAGACCAGACTCATTACAAACCTAATTTCAGTTTTATCAGTTTCTGTTAAATAGATGAAAATGGATGAAACAAACACTATTAGGTCAAAACACTAGAGTCTGCAACAACATACAATATGGGACAATTACCTGGCCCCTTCTTTAGTTTACACTGCTTCAGCACAGGTTATCAGTTTTAATAGATCCCTCAAAGTCAAAGCCTGCCACCCAACACACATTAAAAATCCCTTAAGAGGACACAGATAAGTTACCAGTGAGTAATCTCAATGACCACACAAACTCCAAATGAAAGAGACTGCTAGAAAGGCACTGCTGTCTGAGACCTGGAAGCCTGGTTCAGACCAACCTGAAGTGTCATAGAAAGAGTGGTGGTACACGACTGTGGGCATCATTACTGAACTGTAGACAGGATCACTCTGGAAACAAAAGGAATCCAATAGCCTACAGATCGTTTAATCATAAGAGGAAGAAAATCAGTTCTTCTTGAAGACATTATGAGAATTCTTTTAGCAAAAATGCCACTGGAAACACCATTTCTACTGTCTTGCTACTATATAATACAGTCCAATAAATCAAGCTTTACCTTGAGATGAATTTCCTTTAATAAAACAAGAAATGTATTCAGAAACAGGAGGAAGCTATACAAAGGGAGAAATTAAAGTATCTGTCATCATATGAAAAAAATTAAAATATTTGATGCCTAATAGGTATAGCTTACTGGGTCAAAGGAATCACTTTTTTTAAAATTATGAAGAGCCCTAGCTCATTAATGCTAGGGCTTAATAAGATTTTTCCTTCAATTTCAGATGTGGTTAAAATAATAGATTTGAAAATATTTTATGCTTCATAAACATTTTTGGCACAAGTAGTGTTAAATATAACCAATTAACTGTGTTATCACCTTACAGTAACTGTACCTAACTCCTCATTTACCTGGCAGCTTCAGAGGCAGTATTCCATAAAAACCCATTTTCCAGTGACTGATAAATAAGAACAAGTATAAACACTTTATACTGTGCCCACCTTCAGCCATAGTTCCTCCTTTTGGCATTTTGTTATGACGTGGGAAACCGGATAACTGAGCTTACTAATGCACTTTCCCCTGTGGATTCTGACAGAGACCCTGACAGCTGCCTCTAGACAGTAGCATATGAGCTTTAGTGTTCAGCTTTTGTTAGCATCCATTTTGACCAGTCAGAAGGAGGTAGGTCTTTTGGGATCATTTTGAGATTTGGTTTATTTGTACTATACTTTCAGTAGCTGAAATAGAAAATTCACTATTCTTATACCCTATTCTAATAAAATGCACACTCTTAGTATAGCACAGAAAGTATGTTATTTTTCTATTATGGCAAAGTTATTTAAAAAATTCCCTACCTTGTGTATTTCTAGCAAAAAATAAGCCTACAGCTGACTTTTAACTAATGACATCTCCATCAAATACAGATGTCAATAAAAAGAAAACCATAGGCCGGGCGCTGTGGCTCACGCCTGTAATCCTAGCTCTTGGGAGGCCAAGGCGGGCGGATTGCTCAAGGTCAGGAGTTCAAAACCAGCCTGAGCAAGAGCGAGACCCCGTCTCTACTATAAATAGAAAGAAATTAATTGGCCAACTGATATATATATAAAAAATTAGCCGGGCATGGTGGCGCATGCCTGTAGTCCCAGCTACCCGGGAGGCTGAGGCAGAAGGATCACTTGAGCCCAGGAGTTTGAGGTTGCTGTGAGCTAGGCTGACGCCACGGCACTCACTCTAGCCTGGGCAACAAAGCGAGACTCTGTCTCAAAAAAAAAAAAAAAAAAAAAAAGAAAACCATAAAGCCTCCATACTTCACATGACAGTTTTTGAGTACATCCTCTAAACTAAATTTGCTCTGAACTGAAAGAAAGCACTCCGCATTTAGATCTGGATGAAGAGTTCTCACCCCTTTCAGTGGCCAAAGGGAACTCAGTCCCATAGGATGCTATGGCTTCTCAGGTTCCCCCTGGGGATCCCCTGACAATTAGTGAAGAAGTCATTAGAGTTCTAAATGCTGCTTTAAGTCCCCCAAACCCTTAATTTGGAACTCTTAATCCCATGGGTATGTCAGAAATAATTTCAAATCAACAGGATTATTGAATCTGGACAGAAGAGCAAATAAACTATATTATATCCTCCAACGGAGTGCACTCATTTACCTTGGAGTTAGTTTCTGACAGCCCTAAAGCACACTCCCAAAGCACTGTCAGGCTCCTGACTTCCAGCAATCTCCCTAACAGCTCCAAAGCATTATTACTAAGGACTGGCTTACTTCAAATCACAACCCTAAAGAAGCATTGTTTTAAATTTAGAACACTCTCATAAAATATTTAAGAAATTTTAGAAAAGAAAACAGAATAACAACAATAAGATTCTCATAAGTCTCCCACAATACAGGAAAGCTGAGAATTTCAGGCTTTCTCTCAACCTGGCTGCATTTGTTATGCATTAAAAGCAAGACGAAGAAGGTATTCAATCCTCTAAAAAGATTCAAATTTCCTTCTAACTGAAGAATGGACAGAGATGTGACCTCAGTCCACTTAGAAATTTTGAGCTACCATTAAAGTAGACCTACAGAATCTATTATTTAAAAAAAGAAAGAAAACCAATGAGGTTCAACTCACAGTTGTAAAAAGAAATATAAAAAAATAGAAATGTATTAATATATTTATTTATATTTTAAAAACAAAAAAAATTTAAAAAAGAAATAAAAAAAGAAAGAAAGAAAGAAAGGAAAGGAAAGATAAAATAATATAAATTATCCCCTCAGGATATTTGGGGCACTGATGGATTAGGGGAAATCTTTGGGTGATTCTAGCACCCTTTGTAAGGAGGACTTGTAGCAACCCCAAACTATTAACTTTTGAATTTGTGATAGGTAAGAGTAAACCTAATGCTAACTATAGATTACAGTCAGATATGTACACGAAAGATGACAATGGTAGCTGAATAAAAGCACACAAAACATTTGATAAGCCTTCCAAGTTAGAATGTCCTAGACACAAAGACGCATAATAGGCGTTAGGGCCCAGGCCAGTGATGACAATGTCCGTCTGTGTCCAGATTTTGTGACTGAATTAAAATTGATGTCATACCACATATTTAAAAATATGTAATAAAAGATTCCCCCCCCTTAAAAAAAATCATAAACACAAGTATAAACTCCCTTAAAGAAACTAATTTTAACACAAGCCTAAAAGCCATCTTTACTTACTGAAGTACATTTAATTATTCATGCAAAATGCTTAATACCGTATCTGATACATGAAAAACTCCATAAATGCTAATGTTAGTTATTAATATATTAATATATTATGAACTATGCTTGAAGAAACTTTTGTTACATTCAAGAAGGTCTCATATTGTTGTTTAAAGGCTTTCAATACTGTCCCATCACCTGGCAAATTAAATATGGTGGATACCTTATTTTCTTGAAGCATACATGCTGAGACGACAGTCTTCAAAACTGAGAACGCCACTCTTAGTGTAAGATTACCTATAACTATGATACTCAACAGCAAATACAGAACAAATTGATGTTCACCTGGCTTAGCCTTGCACTGAGGCAACATGTCAATGGGTTTAAAGGGCAGCTCTATGAATCTGATGGTTCCACTGCAAACAGGCTTGGTACTCCAGATATTCGAGAACACTGTTTCAAAATGACTTTCTAGCCTTGACTCTCAATACTCCCTTCTTTCCCTAGAGTTGCTGTCCCTTGAACAAGCTCCATGGTTCCCTGTCTCTATTTCTGTTCATTCTGCCCCAGGTGATTCTGAAATTTCCCCCACATTATCCAGGGTCCACTAGTTGAAATTCTATCCATCCTTTAGGGTTTGTCTCAACTGGTACATACACCCTATACAAAGCCTTGCCTGAGGTCTTCAAGTGGAATAACCTCTAGGTGGTGCTCGATATTCCCCTCCATGATCCACCAAGTCCCCAAATCCCCAAGGAACAAAGAGCCAAGTCCAAGAAGGCTATTCGATCTCTTCCTTCAGGTAGTTGCTAATGAAAGATAGAGTCAGCCTCGGGGAAAACCATGTGTGAATCAAAGAAGAGCCCTGGCAGGGCTTAGTGCTCCTGTTCTAGGCCAGGGAAAAGGGCCTTTCTCCTCTTCCTTTCCTGGGGTTTGACCCTCCTCTCCAAGGGCCAAACATCTTGTTATGATAATATCAAGGTGTGAACCTGAAGAAAGGTACCAGAAAGCCTCAATGACTGATTTTATGAAATGGAAGCCTTGGTGAGCTTGTCAGTAGCTCAGGCTAAAGGAGTTCCTGAAGTGCCCTACAGTCTCTCCTCACTCTGGGGATTGGGGGCAGGGAAGGGTAATTGGGCCTTGAAGGTTCCTTCCCAATCTCGTCCTCTGGAACTGCCTATAATGCACTGTCAAAACTCCTATGGCAGTTTTTTTAAACTTGCCTTGTCAACAGCTTTTTGTAGAACCCTCCTCTTTACGATATTAAACTAGAAACTGCTAAAACGCAGGAACTATGCACCTTTCTTAACGTGTCTATATCCCCTAACACAGATACTTCCTTTAAAAACTGAATGGAAATCTGCATTGTCTCACATGATTACACCGGGACTAGAATAAATTTTTTTAATACCTTTAATAAATAAAGAGAACTCTGGTCCTGGGGAGATTTGAGAACGTTTCTGGCATCTTCCGAACTTTTGCATAATTGATAAATCCTCTGAGAAACAGGAGAAAGCCTAATTTAAAAAAGAAAAGTCAAGAATAAATTTATAATTTCCATGTTAAGTACCCCCCTGCCTCCTGATAATAATGTTTTTCTCCTAAAGGCTATCAAAATATAAGCAATTTCTTCCAGGATCTCTCAAGGATTTTCATACCAAATTGTCTATCCTTCAATGAAAAGGTATAATCACAAGAGTCTCTTTAGCATATTGAGAATCTAATTGGTCTAAAAAAGGAAATAAAACATAAGATGGGCCAAACTTTTACGTGTGAAAACCTCACTGAGAGACATAGCAAAATCTACCTCCTATGTCCCAAAAAAGTATTCCAGGATAATTAACAAGAAAGAAGTTTATAACTGTGCTTTTTTTTCTTGAGTTAAAAAAAATATTTTTCCCCTTTCTTGTCATGGGATATTTTTCTGTCGACAGTACATAATGTTGTCCACTAGATGTCAGGATCCCCTTACCTGTGACAGAAATTTTCATAGTCTCAACTCTAAAATTATTGCTTTGTTCTTAGTAAGACTGATCTGTATGACTATACCAGAATCTATACACTCACAGAAGTTTGCACCTCTTGAAATAGTGGGGAGGTGATGTGCCCCTCCAATGGAAATTCAGACACTCCTGGCCCTCCTTCTTCAGAGATGGTCCCTTAGTCTTTAGAACATTTTTAAAAACACTTTTAATGAGACACAATTTACATACCATAAAGTTCACCCGTGGACAATCCACTGGGTTTTAGTGTATTTATAGAGTCATACAACCAAGACCACAATCTAATTTTAGAACATTTTCATCACCTCCCAAAAAACCTGTACTCATTAGTCACGTCCCATTCATTCACCTGCTCCCTCTTCCCCTTTCCCTGGCCCCAGGCAACCACTGATCTACTTTCTGTTGAACATATTTTAAAATATACTCAAGTGGAGGAAAACTCTTTGTACTCAGACAGTGGAACTGATGTTGAGCTTGGTGAACACCATTATGTTTGACACCACAAGCAACAAGTAACTACAGATGAGGGGCCACCCCTTCAAATGCTGGTTGTGTATGTATTGGGGGAGGGCTCTTAGGGAACTGAACAGCACACATCTGTATGGAGGGAACAACTCAGCTCTAGCCAAAGGGTATCAAGTGGGAATGTAGGCCAGCTTTGCTGGATATTTCAACTTTTGGGAAAATTTTTTTTAAAAAATGCAGATGTTTTACCTGAAATGTTTATTTTTAGATGTTATCAAGTAATAAAAAAAAAAAAAACAGTTGGGGGCTGGGGCCAAAAAAAAGTGATTAAAGAAAAACCTTTTAAAATAACTGTGGAACAAGCAAACCACAACTCCAGGTTAGCTGCGGCTCATGAGCAGCTGGCCTGAGAGCTCGGCATAGACTCCTGCAGGAGAAAACCCCCCAAAACTGGTTCTCTTCGAAAGAGAAATTGCAAAAATGACCCATGCACTGGGTCACAGAGATGTAGCCAAAGTCTTATCTTTTTTTTTTTACTTATAAATAAATGGTACCTAGCAAGAATGATCAATAATAATGTATTATAAATCCCTCTCCCATGAAACTTGAACATACAAAAGAAATAAATCCATTAAACTTCTTTCAGTTATTTATGCTGTAAACAATCAATCTGAAAATATGCTTAAGGGCTCTTCTTTGGTCCATGAGGATTAGATTTGACTTTAGGCCTGGGGGAAGAGGAGTGGTCAGCATTTGTCTGAAAGGTACAGTTTAGAAAATAAGCAAGCCAAGGAACTATTCCTAAGTTATTCTGTCTGTCATTTTTATTATTAAACTTCTCAATAATCAAGGGAGGAAAAAAATCACTATTTCTTTTTTCTTAGAATTCTAATGCCCAATAGTGGAGTAAATGATGCTATTTGAGGTGGCGAAAGAATGCTGTGATGGATGATTTCTTTTTTTTTTAAGAGACAGGGTCCCCCACTGTCACCTAGGCTAGGGTGCAGTGAGACAATCATAGCTCACTGCAGCCTTGAACTCCTGGGCTCAAGCCATCTTCCTGCCTCAGCCTCCCAAGTAGTTAGGACTACAAGCACATACTACCACACCTGGCTAATTTTCAATTTTTGGGTTGGGGGGGTAAAGATGAGGTATCACTATGTTGCCCAGGCTGGTCTTGAAATCCTGGGCTCAAGCAATTCTCCCACCTCAGCCTCCCCAAATGCTGGGATTACAGACATGAGCCACCATGCCTGGCCAGTATTTTCTAAGTAAAATTTAAGGTCAGCAATGCATGGCTCTGTCAGTCTTGGCAAGGCAGATCCTGAATCTACTAAGCACCTATTGGGCATGGGTGCTAGGATGTGCTAGCCAGACCCATTAACAGTATCACCACCACCAAGGATCTTAACAAGGAAGCAACAAGAAGGCCTGAAACAGGAGATAGAAGAAAGGATGTCACAGAAGAGCAGTGAGGCAATCACACCACCTTTAACAGCCACAAGATGGCCCTGCCGTTGTTCTGTGGAAATGACAGCAGTGATAGTGGGCTCTCTCACTGTATCATATACATTTTCTATACAAATAATGAAGCAGCCAACATTAAAATAACTCACCCAATGTCCATTTCTTTGTTCTAATGTCTAGGACATTAGATTTTTAAAGGGTATTGCCTAAGACATTGAGAAGATTTTAAAATAAATATATTTTTATTTTTTAAAAATTTTAAAGATTTTTAAAAGATTTTGAAATAAATAAGTAAAAAATAGTCTGAAAAATACAATCTGAAGTAAAAAATATAATCTGAAGATCAATAACATGAAATATGTGGTATATGTTTTTTTTAAAAGCCTCTTCCTCTCTGCATCCACACCAGCATCTGTTGTTTGGGACTTTTTGACAGAAGCCATTCTCAGTGGTCGTAGGTGATTATCTCATTGTGGTTTTCATTTGCATTTCCCTGATGATTAGAGACCTTGAGCATTTTTTCATGTTTACTGGCCATTAGTCAGTCTATCTTCTTTTGAAAAGTTTCTGTTCATGTTTTTTGCCGACGTTTTAATGGGGCTGTTTGATTTTTTTCTTGTTGATTTGCTTGTAAATTCTGGTTGTTAGTCCTTTATTGGATGTATAGCATGCAAATATTCTCTCCCATTCTGTAGTTTGCCTATTCGCTCTATTGATTATTTCCTTGGCTATGCAAAACCTTTTTTATTTAATAAGGTCCCATTTATTTATTTTTGCTATTGCTGTAATTTTAACAACCTGGATAGAACTGGAGACCATTCTTCTAAGTATTGCAAGAATGGAAAATAAAACACCACACGTACTCACTATTAAATTGGAACTAATTAATCAATACTCATGTACACATATGATAGTAAAATTCAATGGAAATCAAGCAGGTGGGAGGAGGAATGAGGGGATGGGTAAATACACAATGGGTATAATGCTATCTGGATGATAGACACACTTATAACTTTGACTCAAACTGTACAAAAGCAATTCATGTAACCAAAATGTTTGTAATATTCTGAAAATAAATAAAAATTAAAATTTTAAAAATAAATAAAAAGCATCTTCCCCATTGTAAAATACTTCTTATTTTCACCAATGGTGAACTACAGAATTCTGGAAAACCAGTAGTTCTTTTAGAAGTTATGCCTAGCAAGGCTATATATTTTCTGTTTTCCACTGACAGATTCAACCAAAGATGGGCCACATAAACTTACGAGTTAGTCCAGTTGGTTACAATATGCTTATAATATGCAATTTGGAGTTAAGTTTATGAATGCTTTGTGGCAATAACTTACAAGAAGAAAAAATCCACAGACTTTTCTCATCGGTATACCCCTTTGATCACATGGGGGAGAAGTATATATATATACAGGTTAGAGAAAACCTACTATCACAGAATCTTTATTAACGTGTAAGTTTCTTTGATGGTAAGAATAATCTTTAAGAAAGAAACGTTTAAAAAATTATACTTATTATTTATAATTAATATATAGTACTAAAATGAGGTTTTACTAAAAGTACATTTTTCTCCTTTATGTTAAAAACACTTACCTAAAACCAGGAACACCCACCAGAGCCAGTACTGACCATCAAAGTATCCAGGGAAATAGGTGGAAAACTAAAAAATAAAGCAAAATGCTTTATAGCAGCTTAACGGACACAATTTCACATTTTAACTCAAGAAGCACACAAGACATAAGACGTTTATTATTTGTTATACCAATGTCATTTAGCCCTTATGATAATTTAAAAAATATAAGTGAAAATATTTTATATATTACTGATTAGATATGGTTAGGATAAATGCAAATCTATTTCCTTTCATGGAAGACTAATTGTTAAATACGCTAGCTTTCAGCTTTATAAATTCCTTGTTTTCAAAATGTACAAAATTTGTTTTTTTTTAAAAAAACTTTTCTTTTTCCCCACATATATTTGCCCTTCTAGAAATATGTTTAAATGATAGTATTACTTTGCTTATTTAGTACCAAAATCAATTATTTGGCTAGTATCATTGCCTCCTTACTAATGTGGCCTGATTTTGTTTCTATTCCTCCAGCCTTGCCTTGACTTTGGCAGCTTTATCACGTAGGACACTTTAATCCCACTCCCTTGCCTGTAACTGGTTTAGGAAGGGCATCCTGGGCAATGGGAATTTAGGAGTTATGAGAAAGCTTCCTTGCTCTTACAGAAAAAAGAGAAGAAATAACTAACCTCCAGGACTTATTTTTATGGGAAATAAACTTTTCCTATTGTTTTATTTTCTAAGCCATTTGAACTAGGTTTTCTGTTACAGTCAAAAGAATCTTACTGACACAAGTTCATTCATTCAATCTAGCTAAAAAATTTAGTAAACTTAGTTAAAAATTTAGTTTAAAAAAAACACTAGTAACTAATTTTATTTTTGTTTTCTTTGGAGGCTTTGGTGTCCACAGTTTACCATAGTTTGAGAAAAGGAATGAAAACCTCCTTTGGCTTGAGTTCTTAACCTAAAATCTATGCTTTAGATGAGTACTTATTAGCTGCCTGGGAGAAAAGTTTATAACTTTCCTCAGATTCTCAAAGGCTTCTGGAACCCAAAATGTGAACAACTGCTTTAGAATAAAAAAGGAGGAACTAAGGCCGGGCGCTGTGGCTCACGCCTGTAATCCTAGCTCTTGGGAGGCCGAAGCGGGCGGATTGCTCAAGGTCAGGAGTTCAAAACCAGCCTGAGCGAGACCCCGTCTCTACTATAAAAATAGAAAGAAATTAATTGGCCAACTGATATATATATAAAAAAATTAGCCGGGCATGGTGGCTCGTGCCTGTAGTCCCAGCTACTCGGGAGGCTGAGGCAGAAGGATCACTCGAGCCCAGGAGTTTGAGGTTGCTGTGAGCTAGGCTGACGCCACGGCACTCACTCTAGCCTGGGCAACAAAGCGAGACTCTGTCTCAAAAAAAAAAAAAAGGAGGAACTAAAACTACAGTGGTCAAATCGAAACCTATTAATTAGTTAAGTAAGCAAATTTATGATAAATAAAGTGGTTTTGTCCATAAGGTTGACAACAGTAATAAATTAATCTGAAATCAGAGGATACTTTAAAAGCTTAGATCTTTTACAACTTTAAATGATTTCATTCATTTTTAACTAACAGGTAACCCCCCAAATCACCAAATACATTTCTCTAATTTACCTCAGAGATAGGCCCCTAATGGCACTAATACCTGTTAAACATTTTGGCTCCCCAAACATTTTGGCATAACCAATTCTGGAAGGGAGGGAGAAAGAGAAGGAGAAAAGAAGGAAAAAGAAAGCTAGATTAAAAAAAATTTCAGTAGAATTAATGAGAGGAATGCCTGTTTTTGATGAGATACCAAAGAGGTAATATCCTTCCTCTTATTATAAAAACAACTAATTTCAAAAAATGCACACATATATTATCATATTATAAACATCATAAACAAAGAAAGCAGCTGGTGCTAGACCAATATCCAATAGACATGACTACAATATTTGTATGCATGAGCCACTTGCAACTGATTTTAGTTCAACTTCATTATGAAACCAGAAAAAAGACAAACCAGAACAAAGACCAAAATCATTTAAAATGTTTAAGTAACTTAAAAAATGCAAATAAAAAATCAAACATTCAAAATCATTCTAATTATTGTCTCTCTGCCAAGTCTATCTTTTCTGTTGTACAACTTACCCTGACAATCAGGATCCATTTAATTAGAGAGAGACCAAATCCTGAAATGGCTCCATACCTTCCTGCAGCTGAGGTGGTCAGGCAAAAAGACAGGAAAAACCCAATCCAGTTAAAGAGGAATGCCACTGTAACAGCAGAGGGAGGAAAAAAAGTAGTCAGACATGTCCATTACCCAAGAAATCAGAGTGTGTTCCCCAGGATAAAAGAAAGCCCGCCCTCCACAACCTTCACCTATATTCCCCCAAAACACCTGTCCTTCTGTCTTTCCCCCAAAAGCAAACAAGAAAACATCCTCTCTGAATATCAGGTTTAACATTACTGTGTCTACTGCTGTTCACTTTCAAAAATGCCTTAACATTTACCTAACTGTGTACTTATGATCTGTGCTCTGTACTATGTTATATACTTCAATAAATAAATGCTTTTAACATTAAATTAGTGCCCCCAAATAATCTAAGTTATTCATCCTCCTGTTCTATGAATTTTGACAGCTTATATAACATCACCTCTAAGAGCACTGCATTTTCTTTATCATTCTAATACAGCAAATGAAAGATGTAGTTGCTCACTTCTAAGTTGAGGCACATAAAAAATAAATGCAAAAGAAATAACATCAAGGGGGGAAAATCAGGCTGACTTTGCTCTATCAGAAATAGAAGCTTGCAGAACAAAATTCATCAGACAAAGGCACTTAATCACTATTCCATGGGTTAGGTATGAGTAGGATTGCAAAGGAGTCCCATAGAACTGGAAGATGAGGCTTAGCTTATGTAAAAATGCAGCATCCCCATAAAGGCTTTAATTATATTTTCCATAGGTATTCATGGAAATAGAAGAAGAAAAGGGATATTAAGACAAAAGTATACTAAGTTCAGAACATTCTAGTGAAGGCACCAAATAACGTATTAATGTATTAGCTCAATCAGTTATTTTAATTCAGTCACATTCACCCATAATCCAAGCACCCTGGTTTGTGGGAAGTGGCTCTGCTATGCGTTTATACTTACTGAAAAAAGTTAACATGAAAATCCCATCATTTCCTATCCTCAGCTGGTCAGCATCATCAAAATCATCCCGACCCACAAAATCCTCATCCTAAATGAAAAGAAAAAGAATTATTTCCAGGCAAACAAAGACATAACAAAAATAAAGAAAGGAGTAAACAAGTACCAAGAAGAAAAGTTATTGCTTTGGCTCAATTCAAAACTATGAGAATTAAAGGATCAGTAAGTGTTAAAAATTTCATTTTGCATTAAAAGTAAAATATATAATTAGAGAAGAAACATATCTTCCTTCTATCACCATAGTTTTCTCTTTTTTTTGAGATGGAGTCTTGCTCTGTCACCTGGGCTACAGTGCTGTAGCATAAGCCTAGCTCAAAGCAACCTCAAATTCCTGGCCTCAAGCAATCCTCCTGCTTCAGCCTCCCAAGTAGCTGGGATTACAGGCGCATGCCACCACACCCAGCTAATTTTTCTATTTTGGTAGAGACCACATCTCGCTCTTGTTCAGGCTGGTCTTGATCTCCTGACCTCAAGCGATCCTCCTGTGTTAGCCTCCCAGAGTGCTAGGATTATGGGTGTGAGCCACCGTGCCAGTCCTATCATCATAGTTTTCTAAATGAAATTTTCATTTTATAACCCTTAATTCTTTAACAATACACTTCAAAAATTTTAAAAGTTCACAAAGAACTATTTACTATTCCTTTTTAAAAATATACATCAAGAAAAGAAAAAACGCAAAATTTACTTACACATTTGTCTTAAATTCTAGATTATCAGTAATCCAAGGTCTGTTTTAGGGTTTAGAATATTAGTAACCCAGGGCCTAGTAAGGAGATAAAATCGACCAGCTTAAGTGCTTTATGAGACTGACATGGGGGAGAAAGGACAGCATGATCATACATGAAGAATCAACATAGCTGCCCACTAAGCATTTCTTTGTATTGGTATACAGGTCTGAAACTATCTCATGTCTAATCTTATCAGCAGGTAGGATCTCTTCGATCCTAACTTGGAAACACAATATTGCAGTCTAGAAGGAACATGATCTTGACCAACGCTAACACATGTGGCCTTTCTCTTCAACTGATGTAGGTTATGTGTTGCAATATTAAAAAATAAAGGAATATACACTAAAAAACATAAAAGTGATAGACTTCAATTAAGGCTCCACAAATGAAAAGAAAACATTTTAGGGGCAATCAAAACTTGTCCTACACAGAAAGGGGCTGGAAGATCCATACCAAACTGTTAACAGTGGTTCCCCTGGGGAGTGAGAACTAGAGAAAAAGGCATTACGCAAAACTTTTTACCTATCTACCTTGTATTTAAAAAAGTGCTCTGTAGATGTCTGCTGAATATTAGAGTCCTTTAAAAGGTTTCTAAATACATATACTTATCAAATAAAAGTATTCTGAAGAGTTCTGTGATTAGTTAGAGTTAATTTCCATACTAGTCTATTTACCATATATTCTAACAGGTCTGCGAAATACAGTGAAACCTAAAGGAATATTTGGGTTTCACCTTACTTCTGCTACTTATCAGCCATATGACTGGGCAAATTAAAATTACTTAATCTCTCAGGACCTCAATTTTTGCATCTGTAAAATGGACATAATACAATCTCTACCATTTGAAGTTATTGTGAGGACTGGAAACAATATATAAAATATATAAAAGCATCGAGCACAGGACCACGTATATCACTTGCTTCTAATATAGGGCAGTTACATTATGACTATTTTACCCTCAGATAGTAAGCTCCATGAAGGTTCTTTAGTTTCTTCCTGGCACCTACAAGAACTGAATGCATATCACCATGTAGGATTAGCCTTGACTGAGCTCATAAACTATTTCTGTCAAGCAGTGGTTTTAGGAGCTTCACTCCTCATAGCAGGTGTGGTCTGTAAGCAGCCTACTGCCCTTAAGCCAGGCCAGGGGGAACCTCTGGGACGTATGCCATTGCAATTTCCAGATTGGGCTTCTTTTTTCTTTTTTTGAGAGTCTTACTCTGACACCCTGGCTAGAGTGCAGTGGCATCACGCTAGCTCACTATACCCTCAAATTCCTGGGCTCAAGCCATCCTCCTGCCTCAGTCTCCCAAGTAGCTGGTACTACCAGTATGTGCCACCACTCATAGCTAATTTTTTCTATTTAGTAGAGATGGGGTCTCACTCTTGCTCAGGCTGATCTCAAACTACTGAGCACAACCAATCCTTCCACCACAGCCTCCCAGAGTGCTATTAATAGGATTACTGGCGTGAGCCACCTCACCTGGCCTGGGCTTCTCTTCTTATTCTTATCATTCACTCCAGTATCTTGCACGACTAGAGCCTAGAGCTCTAATGGTCCCCACATCCATGGGGTCTTACCCTGCTTCCATTCGCCCAATATTTGACCCAAGGCCCTACATGCATCAGCCCAAACTTGGATGAATATTTACAAAATCACACTTAGCACTTATAGATCTGACATCAAAAACCAAGGATGAGGCCGGGCACTGGTGGTTCACGCCTGTAATCCTAGCACTCTGGGAGGCCAAGTCAGGCAGACTGCTCAAGGTCAGGAGTTTGAAACCAGCCTGAGCAAGAGCGAGACCCTGTCTCTACCATAATTAGAAAGAAATTAATTGGCCAACTGATATATATAGAAAAAATTAGCTGGGCATGGTGGCACATGCCTGTAATCCCAGCTACTCAGGAGGCTGAGGCAGAAGGATTGCTTGAGCCCAGGAGTTTGAGGTTGCTGTGAGCTAGGCTGACTCCATGGCACTCACTCTAGCCTGAACAACAAAGCGAGACTCTGTCTCAAAAAAAAAAAAAGGGCCTGGCGCGGTGGCTCACGCCTGTAATCCTAGCTCTCTGGGAGGCCGAGGCGGGCGGATTGCTCGGGGTCAGGAGTTTAAAACCAGCCTGAGCAAGAGCGAGACCCCATCTCTACTATAAATAGAAAGAAATTAATTGGTCAACTGATATATAAAAAAAATAGAGAGAGAGAGAAAGTGGTGGTAGTAGGAGAGATACAGGAAAAATGAGCTGGCTTGACTAGTGATTCTCTGCTCATTTACTCAACTTTACCTCATCATTTTCAGGAAGAGATGAGCTTATTGTCCTAGAAGAAAATGTACTTTAAAAAAATTTAACTGTACTTTTACTAATCAATACAATTTTAAGTAATAAATGAAAATTAGATAATGAAAGTTGGTGAAGATCTTCTGAGTGGAAGTGGGGGTGGGACCAGGGCCTTGTTGGCAAATAAAGTTTAAGCATGTAAAAAAAAAAATTAGATGATGAAAATAATGTAAGTGTCATAAAGCAGCCATCAAGTAATATGGTAAATTGTACTTACTCTTCCAGGAACCAAAGGAATAGTAGCTTCGGCCTTGGTTCGCTCAGCTTCATCATAACTGGGCAGTGTTGTAGCCACATTGTAAGATGGGGGCTTTGGAAACCCAGACTCATCCTTGTAGTCAAAATATGCTGCAGAATAAAAGAGCCACAATTATCTGATCAGTAGCTGAATTCAAAAAATAAAAGGATTTTCACTAACTCTGGCAAACAAAACCCAGCCATTCCCAAGAGTACATACATAATAAGTGAACCAAAAGATATTTATAGATGAATGTAAGAGACTGGGGGCGATTTTTAAATTTAGCCACTTTTCAATTATTTAAAATTCAGACTCACTTTGTACCCTTCCTTCCAACTGCTTTTGAACCACTTTTTTAACCGTCATGTCAAAGCATAGAGTGTTTTGAAGGTCAGTAATCACCTTGCCTTGTTACCTACCTGCACTCTCTGCAGAGATGCTGCTGTAAGGTGGAGGAGCATCACCTGCAGCCTGTTCAGGCTCTCCAGACTCTTCTTCATTCTGCAACTAAATAAAAATTTCATATTTTAGGGCCAGGTGCTGTGGTTTACGCCTGTAATCTCAGCGCTTTGGGAGGCCAAGGCGGGAGGATTACTTGAGGCCAGGAGTTCAAGACCAGCCTAACCAAAATAGTGAGACCCTGTCTCTAAAAAATGGAAAAAAGTAGGCAGGCGTGGTGGCATGCCTGGAGTCTCAGCTACTTGGGAGGCTGAGGCAAGAGGAATGCTTGAGTCCAGGAGTTTGTTACAGTGAGCTATGATGACACCACTGCACTCTAGCCCCAGAAACAGAATGAGACCCTGTCTCAAAACAAAACAAGAAAATTCCTATTTTAATGCAAGTATAAAGACAATTAGAAATATGAGACAATTAGAAATCTGAGGCAAGAGTGAGACTCCGTCTCTACTAAAAAAATAGAAATAAATTAGCTTGACAACTAAAAATATACAGAAAACATTAGCCGGGTATCGGACATGGTGGCACATGCCTGTAGTCCCAGCTACTTGGGAGGCTGAGGCAGAAGGATTGCTTGAGCCCAAGAATTTGAGGTTGCTGTGAGCTAGGATGATGTCACGGCACTGTAGCCCAGGCAACAGAGTAAGACGCTGTCTCAAAAAAAAAAAAAGAAAAGACATTTCAATTAATTTTTCCAGTGTGACAATAGACTACATTAACTCAAAAGATTAGTTGGCTGAGACTGGGAATCAGTTAGGAAAGGAATAACAGAATATTTATTTTTTGAAAGACAGAAGGAAAAACAAGAATATTTAGTGTCAGCAGAATAGGATTTGGACTAAAAAAAAAAGAAAAAAAAAAAAAAGAAGAATATTTAGTGATGTAACTGACATGAGGGTCTGGTCCTGGCTTCAGTACTACCATGATATATAGAACCAGCTGAAGTACTATATAATAGAACACACACAACTTCTAAATCACACTGCTACAAAGAACTCTATCTTGAGTTGAAACAGAAAAACAGAAAGCCTGAGGTGTCATAACATGAAGTAGAGCACTCTAATCCATTAAATTTTAACTGACAATCTCAATCTCCACTTCCTATGCCATTCAAAACCAGAGCCCAACAAACTTTCTGATTAATATTGCATAGCATTCAATTTCAAATGAATTCTTATGTCAGATTCTCATCAGCATTTACCATCTGGGCACATTTTTGGGGGCCCTAGTAATCTAATGTTAAACTTAAGACACTCCCAAAATAATTGCATCATAACCTAAAATAATTTTTTCCTTTAAACAAAGGTATATGGGCAAAATAGCTCTAGTAAAGTCAAATGTTCCTAGAACACCCAATCAATGAATTATTTAAAGAGAACTTCTAGGACAATGGTTCACCTGAAATACTAGTTTTAGCATAATTTGAAGCTCTAGTCAGGGTATTCTGAGCCTCCGCACACATAACCACTTTTGTGCCATGGGAAAGTTGCAAAAAGCAGCAAGAGTCAGCAGCAAGAATAGAAGCAAATACAGACTTTTATTTATTTATTTTCTTTAGAGATGGTCTCGCTCCATCGCTCAGGCTGGAGTGCAGTGGCTTGAGAACGTTGCGTCAATACGCTGTACAGCCAGTTATGTCCTTCATTTAGGCCTAGCTTGGTATTTCTAACCCGTGTTCTAACTCCTGAGCTTGGTCAAAGTAATCACGTTACCTATGCATAATGTAGGTTTCAGAAAGGAAGCATGGAAATTCTAAGAAACATAGAAGTCCAAAGAATAAAGAAGTAAAAAGGTCTTATACGCCAGTATCTGTAAGACAGGTTACCTGCTCTCCTGGCAACCTGGAAATGTTAAATTCAATCATTTAACACAACGGGTACAGTAAAAGATAACAGAGCAAAGAAATTCCAACCTCAAACACCTCAATTTTCTCTTTGGTTAGGAAAAAAAGAATTCCAGGTGAAGATTTTTGCTCCATCAAAATTCACTAGTTTAGTGGTTCCCTCATTAATACCAGCACTTTGGGTGGCTGAGATGGGAGGATGGCTTGAGGCCAAGAGTTCAAGACTACCCTGGGCAACACAGCAAGACCTCATTTCATTCATTCATTCATAAATAAATAAATATTAGCCAGGCATGGTGGCATGTGCCTGTAGTCCCAGCCACTCGGGAGGCTGAGGTTGGAGCATGGCTTTAGTCCAGGAGTTTGAGGCTGCAGTGAGCTATGATTGAGCCACTGCATTCCAGCCTGGGTGACAGAGTGAAACATTGTCTCTAAAAATAAACAAAATTCACTACTTTAGAATCATGTCAAAAACAACAATTAAAAACACTCATTATGACTATGGGATAATCCTAAAACGTCAGTGGACAGCCCTCCCACTCTGGCTTGTTTCTATAATGCTGGTGATAAGATTAAGCTCCATCAAGAAAGCTATTTAAAACACTACAATGTGGGGGGAAAGAGGCACTCACCCTCAAAAAGAGGTATTTAGCAACTACTGTCTGTGTGAATAACAACTTGCTGAGCAACAGAATCCTTAAACATACATCTTTTTACACTTTGGGGACAAGTCAGACATTCGCTAGCTTGGGGGTGTGGAGCATGTGCCTTAGAACCAAAGTGAACAATAAAATTAGTTGCTTGGTTCCAAAATGTATTTTTGAGATAGAGTCTCAAAACCTAAAACTTGGCCGGGCGTGGTGGCTCACGCCTGTAATCCTAGCACTCTGGGAGGCTGAGGCGGGTGGATTGTTTGAGTGACTGGCTTCTTTAACTATAATGTTTTCAAGTTTCACCCACATAGCATCTATCAGTATTTCATCCTTTTTGCTGGCTGAATAATATTCCATTATACTGGTATACTACATTTTGTTTAGCCATTTGTCAGTTGATGAACATTTTGTCTATTATGAATAATGCCACTATCAATGTTCATGTACAAGTTTTTCAGTTCTCTTGGGTATATGCCTTAAGAGGAATTGTTGGATCTTATTATAAATACATATTTAACTTTTTTGAGGAACCGGCAAACTGTTTTCCAGAGTGGCTGCACCATTTTACATTCTCATCGGCAGTGTATTAGGGTTCTAATTTCTCCACATACTCAACAACACTGTTTATTGTTGGTCGTTTTGATTCTAACCATTCTAGCAGGCACGAAGTGGTTATCTTGTGGTTCTGATTTGCATTTCCCTGATGACTAAATGATGAGTATTTCTTGTCTTCTGGCCATATCTTCGTTGGAGAAATGTCTATTCAAATCATTTGCTCAATTTTAAATTGGGGTGCCTTTTTATTGTTTAGCCTCTCTTGTGAGAATTATTTAAAACATTATCCCCTAATTAACAGCAGTTTAATATAGAGCTGTTCTTGAATGTAAAGAATGTGGTGATGTTAGAATACATGATTTACCAGTTACACTATATGAAATCAAAATTTATAGATCTCTACAATCTTTCTGGCTGTTTCTGAATAACAGAGTAAAACAGCATAGTCAGTTGTTTACCTAAAGAAATGTGCTTGTTTACTTTCTGTAATTATACTGTCTCATTTGGTAGGATTTAAAGAGTATGTAGAAGTAGTAGTGGGTTGGTAATGAGTAGTTTAAAAAATTGCATTTTAAGGTAAAAGTTTTAGAAATTAAGTCTAAGATTAGAAGTGGTAAATAACATTTAAAGCTAGAGATTAGTCACCACCTCAGGATTTTCTGAGATTTATTGTTAATAACTTAAAAATGGGACTTAAAACTTACAAAAACTTTGTTGGTGTTTAAATAGGACCCAGCCAAATATAGAGTGGTACAAATACTCGCAACTTGATATATTGGACAGCTCATTATTTTTCATATTCTTGCTTGTTTGTATCAATTATGAACTATATGTTGATACCTATTCTCATGTATAAGGATTTATGGGTTTTGTTTAGTAGGATTTTTTGTTGTGTTTCCATTCTTAGTAAACATAGAGAATCTAAGAATGAATTTTAAGTTCCTTTACATCCTGCCATTTGGTACAATATAAATGTTGGCCCTTAGCCCTAATCTCTGTTACTGCTTATAAACAGCTCATTTCTAAATTGAAGGTCATCTTTAGAACTACTTAGGTGAGGGTAGTGATGAAGATTTCTTGCTGGGGTGGAAACTCAAATAAGAATTTAAACCTGTAGGGTATAATGTCTTTAAACTTGTTAAATTCATGTTTGCTTCTGTTAGAACTAATGTACTTTATGTGAACTAATGTTCTATATTAGAACTATACGTGATTTCTGTACTGGAGGTTGTTAAAAAAAATGTCATATATTTATTTCTAACAGCAACAGTACTTCAATACTTATACTCCATAGTGGTAAGTCAATTTTATAATGCTGAAATCTAAACAATCAAGAAATAGCACACTATAAATGTTATTTAGCTACAGAAATAATAGCACAGCAGCAAAAGAAACAGCTAAAAGAGATAAGGAGCAGGCAGGTGAGCAGGAGACTGCTGTTTTGGGTAATAAGGCTATAAAATCTATTTGACTCTAACCTATATGCATGTGTAACTTTGATATGAATAAAAACTAAATAAAAAGTAAAAGTAAACACTCTGGGAGGCCAAGGCGGAAGGATCGCTCAAGGTCAGGAGTTCGAAACCAGCCTGAGCAAGAGTTGAGATCCCGTCTCTACTTAAAATAGAAAGAAATTAGCTGGACAGCTAAAAATATATAGAAAAAATTAGCCAGGCATGGTGGCACATGCCTGTAGTCCCAGCTACTCAGGAGGCTGAGGCAGAAGGATTGCTTGAGCCTAGGAGTTTTGAGGTTGCTGTGAGCTAGGCTGATACCATAGCACTCTAGCCCAGGCAACAGAGTGAGACTCGGTCTCAAAAAAAAAAAGTAAAAGTAAAGACAATAAAAATGTGATTACAAAAGGGGACTTTCACTGTGCTCAAGGGAAAGTAACCTAATGGCAGGGGACAGGGAGGAGGTACTCAAAGTCCCCTTAGGGCAGATGAGTACACTAAGATGGGAGGGGCACTAGTTAGAGCAGCCAACCTTTTTGGTGTCAG